ATTTGAACTGTATTTAGGTTTTTTTTTGTTTAGTCTTTATAACAATCGTATAAATCTTATAAGAAATTACTTTGAAGTTTTGGTTATATTTATGTATTCTTTTCATTAAAACACTGAGTCTCGCTGCAGTAGTATATAATTTATTATAAACTTAATCAACAACGCGTTTCATTCAAATACATGGTTTTGACGCATTCCCTGACGCATTCATTATTCTGAAGGGACAAAATGAGGCAGTGAATATTGATAGCTCACATTCGTCAGACATTCTCATACAAATTGCCTCGCAAAATTATCGCATACTTTAAATTAACAACCAATTATTCAGATATTATTGTGAGTTAGAAAATAAAATATTACAGACAATTTTAATAATGTGGATATTTCTAAGATTTTTCGTTATTGTGAAATACTTTCGTTTAAAGAACATCGTATTTACTTTCTAACAATTGTACTCTGGTAGTAAGTTATTAAAAAAAATAACCCTCGTCTGTAAAAATAGTTAAAATTGGAAAAGTAACTATTGGTAGTTTCAAAATTAAAATACGAAACTTGAAACAAATGATACAATAATTTTCCATGCGAGCCAAACCGGTGGGAAGACCTTGCCCGTAAAATATTTATCGAAATGCAGAAGTGAATGGTAGTTGCTTTTATACACTGTATAGCTTAGAGGCTAAGCTGAAAAGCCCGAGCAGAAATCTGCTAAGCTCAAAACCAATAACATTTAGAATTTCTATCTAAGACAGCTTATACATTTGGAATATGTGCATGTTTTTGATAATATTATTTCAGTAAAATATTGTATGGGATTTTTAAAATGATCATCTTACTCTGTTTTTATAAATAACTCAGTCACAAACCTAAGTGGACGGCTTTAAAATTAACTTAATTGTCTTAAATAGGATCCTGAAATAACTGAAACAAAAATAAAAAGTTGTAGGAAATATTAGAGCGATTTATTCACAAAAATTGTAGGATATAAATGATTATATATTTGTTTATACCTTAATCATAGCAATTAACTATAATTTTGGTTTTTGTTCCGAAAAAAATTTTATAAATACAAGAGGTAATTATTATTTATAAGTAGTATTTTTTATAGCTGCAGTTTTATCCAAATAAAAAGAATAATATGCATTGTAGCCAAAGAAAGAGGATTTAATATTAAACATGTTCGTCTGAATACGAGGTCAAGTCTGTATTCTAGTTCATATATCCCAGCTTACAATAAACTCGTATGTACACCGAGGAAGCTTACGTCTATTTTCACTCTCGTGAATCCATTGGATTAATTTAATCTCGACACCTCTTACTCTACTTAAGTGGCAGTTTTCCGACAATGCTACATTCAATTTAATTTTTTATGAATTTAATTTTTACGTTATTGCATTTTATCAACAGTGACAATTTAAGAGTTGATACAAAACGATTGAAATGAAAATTAAAGGATTTATTTCTTAAACTTTATTGGTTATTGGTTAAATTTATTTATTTTGAAACACGGAAAGCATTTTTATTAATTAGCAGGGAAAATTATATTTGCTAATAAGTTTTGTGCGGAGAAGGAATGCGTGAATTGCAAATTGCAAATAAAATATGACAGAGATAAACAAATGACCAATGTATTAATGTATAATTTATTTATATAAAACCTTATTAAAGATATGTATAAGTTAAAAAAAGATATGATAAATAATTATGACAATTATAGCTATTCTTATTTTTGAAATATAACCATAAATATCCTTGTGATTTGATGGAAAATTTTATATCCTGAATGCCTCTACAAAAAGTGAAATTTATGTGAAGAACTGAACAAGCAAAAATAAACTTTATATTTGACTTAACTTTTAACTTAATCTTTCTTCTCTCAAACGACTGGACCGATTTTGATGATTTTTTTGTGTGTGTTCAAGGGGATCTGGGAATGGTTTAGATTCATAATTTTGTCCGCTGGACAATGGTTTTTTAATTAATTTTTAATTTATTAGTAGTTGTTGACACAAAATTTTTTTTTGACATTAGATTTGACAATTCTAACAAATATGTCAATCATGCTGTCGCACTTCAAAACACGGAGATTTATGGCTTTAATAGGTAAACTCCAAAAATATAAATGAAAAAACGTAACAGATATTTCTTGATTATAGAGCGATACGAAGTTCGGTGGGTCTTCTAGTTTTATATAAAAATCAAACATTTTAGATACCAATATTAATTCACTTAAGACGTTGCGATCTAGACACTCAATCAGTGACAAATTTACAACAAAATCATGACAAGTGATTTAATCAAATTATAAGAATAAAGAAATGAAAATCAACTCGTGATAGTTAGTTTAATTAAATTTTTAATATTGCATCACTATAAATAATGAGAATACATGTAATTACAGATATTTATAGTATTTTATTTGTTGACGTTGATAGCCTTATCGGTTAAAATTTGAAAATACAGTATGAAAAATTCATCGACACGAACAAGATTCCGATTGCAACCCCGGGAATATCGCGATCTAGCTGCTTTACTAATAAAACTTTAGTTACATGATATGACACGTGACGAAGAATTTTTCATCTATATTATCTAATTTTAATTGAATTTTCACCTCAAAATAGCTTTAATAAAAAATTAAATTGAACGATTCCGATCTATATATTCTTTTAAAGTTTCAGAACCTTCGTCGATTATGACAGACACTGACAGTGGATTATATGATAGAAAAAAATATCTTTAAAAATAATATCTTACCTAGTATAAACAAACATGAGATCTCTGTTTGCAATGCCAGTGGAATGGAATCCACGATGAATCTGATTTGACACGTTAATTGAAAATTTTACCTAGTGTAATTTTAGACGCGGATTGGTTATTGTGAATGTTTGAAATTAGACAAATTTAAACGTCAAGTTCAATTTACTACATAACACTTATTGGTCACTGTCTTCATTCATCTCTGCAAATAAATATTGATTTAATTCCATAAACTGAAAAAGTTCTATCCTTGGATGCTCATGCTCAAAGATTATGATAAAAAAAGAATTTGTCCTTTACTATCGTATTTAAAATATAAAATCCAGATAATAGTATATAAATCTTGGCTAATGATTTTAATCCACAATCGGTTTTGGTCATGATGGTCTATGTTACATACAAATCTTTTGTTTTATTTCAAGATCTGTCAATATTTTCTTGGACAGATAGAGTCCTTTAAAACACAGTTAGCCATTAATTCGTTGTTTATATGTTTTAACAACTTTTTCGCACTTATAAAATGTAAAATTTTATCAGAAGTAGATTGACTGATGGGGTTAAGGCATTTATTTAGCTTAATTGATTACAGCATTATCAGGGATTACTTAAGTCTTGGATTAAATTCCTACTCAGAAATTTATTTTTACAATTTCTCATTAAATAATTATTCATGGCTTTATTATTCAGGCTAAAAGTGTAATAAAATTAAAATTTGTTTTGTATAAAAGAAGTAATAGGCAACTGCGAGCTTGCAACACTATTGCTGCAAGATCAAGACAAAAGGACTGGGAGAACAATACCTAGACCAGCTGTATTGGCGCAACACCAAGAGCAAGATTGGCTAATATCCGTTTTGTTGTTGCATTCGGGCAACATTACCACCAACATAATCCAACTATAAAAAATACTTTCGTTAAACGGTTTTTAAGACTTTAAAACTTTACTTCACGTAATAGTTATTTGTTCTTGGTCTAAAGGAACTAATTAAAATGTATTATTATTATAGATACTATGTTATATTCTAGAAGAGTCGTTTTTGATTGTGCTGAATAGAAGTTTAATTTATTGATTGTGTGCCTGAAAGAGAAAATGATGGGAAATAAGTTAAATATGGAACGTAAAATATATTTAAGTGTTGATCCCAAAAAATTTAAGACAACAGCGATAATATTTAAAATATATCTAAATATTTTACAAATAGTATAAAATTCCACTCATCGTTAAAAAATGTGCAAAATAAATTGAAACCTTATATTTTGGTACATGAGGTCTCTTTTATTTGGTAATTGTATTTTAGTGATGGAATATTGGTAATGTCTTAACAATAACAGGCGATTGTATTCGAAATTCCAATCGGTTGGATTAATCAACCATAATTCGTAAACCTATGACACGGCGTGCCAACTGAAATTCCACGAAATTTATTCACTGGCCTTGTTTGCTCGAGCTCTATCTGTATTCAAACAGTGGATTACGTCGGTTTAAAATTTGAGCGCTGAGTTAATAGGTTTTAGTCCGATAGGCAAATTTAAATATGAATGTGGATCGTGGTCGTTATACGTTAAACCTTTCATCGAAGCGTCTGGGGTTAAGTACTTAAATACAAAGAAATCTGAAATAGTTTTATTATTAAACATTTATAATAAGCAAAACTTACTACAACAATAGTTTAAGTGTATGAGACTAAGCTTATATACACATTTATTAAACAAAACTGTCTGTGTCTAATAATTGCGCAAGATCTGTGGCATCTCAGTTTATTTGCTGAACTTACTCAATTGAGACTAGAACTGAAAACTATCACGCAAATAGTATTCATTAAATAAACATTTGCATAATTGAAACCGTTTTAAATGAATTGTTATCTAATTTAATTGAGCTTAATATGAATTATGTTTTCATTGATATTGACCACTTTCATAGAAGGATTATGATGAAATAATGTAGAAAAGCAATATTTAAAACAAACTACAATTATTTCATATGTTTCAAAATATAAAATGAATGTTCTAACAAATAAGGTAAGTCATATATCATTGATTATCATATTTTATATAACAAATTTTTAATCTCACTATTCATACATCAATGTCTTCCACTTCAAGTTCTGAGTGTGATCTCTAAGAAGTCATGAAAATTCGTTTAATTGTATTGTAACTGGCCACACATATTTTCTTTTATTTTTTATTATTGTCAGTTGATGCCTAGTACACGTCACAAAATCAAGGAAATCTCAGGTCTAGATGATGAAGAGTACATCGGATGATTATACTAGATCTAGCGAAAAACGAGCTAGGAGCAGCAGCAGTACCCATGTCCCAGTGCATTTTGCTGTCCATAAGCCGGGATGTCACTTCGAGAGCTGTTGTGGGGTTTGCAACTTATTTCCTGGAGTCATCCTTATTGCATTTAGTCAAGTGCTGGTTGGTTCTCTCCTGTTGACTGTACTGTTGTCATACAGCAAACAGTACGATGCGATTCATCAGACTCAGAAGTCGCAATGTAATTATGATATAGACTTCACTTAATCTTATATAAGTTTTATATCTCAATAGTAATTGTGCCTGTTGATAAAATAGTTATGAGCCTGGCTACCGGTACAGTTCTTAGCGGCGTCACAGGTGCGGGTGTGCTTCTGATCATCGTGGCTTTAACTGAGAATTGCAGGGCTATGCTGGTAATTTATTTTATTGTTTTGTATGAAATAGAAAAATACTTTTAATTAATCATGTCTTAGTCTTACACACATTGTGTCAAACTCTTTTTTTTTGCTCTTTCATGACTTATCCACCTAAGATATTTGGGTATTGTGTTATATAGATAAATAGTGTGTCTATGAGGGGTAGTTTAATTGGTTTAATAAATAAAATTATAGTCACACCTGTTGAGTAAATACAACAGTCAGATAAATAAAACAATAAATTAATGAAATCATAGTTTTAGTTTAAATGTGCACACGAGTCTTAGATAGAACAATTGGTAAATAATTATTGTGATATGTACTCAGGATTATACTTTATACAAATTTTTTCGTGGTAATGAATACCAACTGTTTTATGAGATATTTAAATTTATAAAAATTTGTATATAACATTCCAGGTGTATTTAATGGCGGCGTTTTTTGTCTGGTTGTGTATCATTTCGCTTGCTATTACTAAAATTGGACGATCATGTGCCAGATTTAAAGAAGGTAATTATTACGAGTAAAAAATAATACCTAGTCTAAAAGAAACAATATCTTGGTATAGCCATGATGCGTAGAAAGAGCTAGGTCTCCTTAAAGGCCTATTATTCCCGCCCTTAATGATACCCTAGCTCTTAAGATTTCCTCTATTCTTAAGAAGCCCTTTGAGAACATTTTGTCTTTGTAATCTTAGATGGAGTCGGTTGTATAAAAAGACGTAGACGATGTATCTTACTTTTAATACTTGCTGTACACTGTTAAGTAAAACAATATTATTGATAACTACCATTTTTAGTAGAATCTTGTGTGTTTATATGAAAAACGATTTTTTTACGAATTGGTTACTTCGATTTTAATAACTTAGTATTGGTTAATGAATCTATTTAAAGGTATTCATGTATTTTTTTAAGCTCCTAAAATTAAAGACGAACAACACAGAGTGGTTAATCTAGCCTGTGTCAGCGGACTCCTTTCCTTCTTAGGAGGTGGTACGTACGATTTTGAAATTAGCAGCCATTTGGTTTATAAATCACGCTAGAAGTAATGAACATATTGTATAGCTAACAAAAAAAGGTTTTTATTCTTCTCTTTATAGTCTCCAATTCAATCATAAAAACTTAAAATAATTTAAACGTTTGTGGAACTTAAGTTCTGCTTGAATATGGTTAACGTTGTCTGCTGTTAGCCGCAATCTATTCATTTTCAATGCGGTTTTCCCTTTGATCGATATTTTTAATATAGGTTATAAAACCGCATATAATATGTATTCGATGTTGTATCAATGCTGTATTCCGACTTTATGATACAGCCTGGCATCAATGATGCTTTATTAATAATTGCTCCGTTCATTGCTTAATTGCAAGTAAACGAACGGTGTCTGCATCGAATAATTAATGAACAAATATTTTAACAGTTTGGATGATATTTATATTACGTAATATATAATACTGTCTACATATTATATAGTCAGAGGTGGCTTAGTGGTTAAAAGGCCCGCCTCACATACACGAGGGCACGGGTTCGATCCTGGCAAGTACCAATGTGATTTTTCCCAATCATATGTACTTTCTTAGAGTATTTAGACATCACTGGTTAATACATTTTCAAAGAGGGTTGATGTCAGGCAGGCGCCGGTCGTAAAAACAATTAGCCAAAACTATTCACAACATGTAAGGCAGACCCTGGTTAAAGCTGGGAAATTGCCAGGTAGAAAAAGATAATATTGTATACACATACATATATAAAGATCAACCGTCTTCTATTATGAATAAATATCCTTTAAAAATATGTTGAAAAGTTTGAAAACAATCATGTAAAAAGTGGTTTTAATGAAGTCACAATAACAATAGAAATCTGATCGTTTGTTATATTATTAAACAATTCTAATTCTATTTCAGTGTTGTACTTGTTCTCGTTCCTAGTGGTTTTCAGTTTCTACCACTTCCGATACGTGAGACGTGCAATTTTGATGCATGAAGCGGAATGTGAATAAGGCAACAGAATAATCATTGATATTTCTAAATATATTCATTTTATTACTTGCTAATAAATTATTTTGACTTCTTTATTGTATGTTTATTTATTACTAGCTGTTACCCGCGACTGAGACTCCGTAAAAAAAAAGAAAAAATAAACAATTAAAAACTTTTTAAGCGCCGCTTGCGTCCTGAATCCCACTTGTGCTTGGTAATACTCAATTTATGGATCGGAATGAAAAGTAGCCTGAGTTACTCCTTATCACATCAGCTACCTGCCAGTAAAACTTCACTCCAAATTTATTTATTTGTATAGATTGATTATTAAGTTCTTGTATTAGTTTGTGTTTTGTTTTGTGGGTAACTCATGCAATCAGTTGTTCAGTGGTTAATTCCACATTATACTATATAATGACAAGTACGCTGTCATTTACAAAAAAAATGAATAACTAAGTATAGGTTTTTTGGATGCAATTTTAAAGGAACGCTACCAGAATTGTTATGTTGTTATGTTCGGTTACAATTTGATAATAGGTTAGTAAATTCTTTTTTATAAATACATTAAGAATTCATTTACGAATAGTCAAGTTTGTGATATCATCGTTATGAAACGATAAGTGTATTATCTGTAGTGTGGGTAAAGATTAATCTAGGTACAGCATTTTAATATGAGATTATTGTTCTTCTGAATATTTTTTTGAGCTTTAACTGAATGATGCAAGTATAAGAGTGGTACCATAAGGAATTGCTACCAATTGGAGAAATTTATACATATTATCTTTTCACGTAGCTGAAAGTGATTTTTAATAAATTGTTACTAGCCAATATAAAAGTGAGTTAATATTTTAATACTATCCATAAATACTGTATTATATATGCATGATTTTACATACGAAAAATCTGAATAGCTTTGTGCTTTTTAATAATTCTTGTGGTATCATATAAAGGCTTTAAAGAGGAAAAATTTCTAACAAAGTATACATTCGAAAGCATTGCTATTAATAAATAGGTTAAACTTTGAAATGTCTCGTAAGAAAGGTCGTTATTGGTTCTATAAATTACTAAAGGGTCACGGAATAAAATGGCAAGACTAATAGATTTCGCGACATATCAAACTAAGGGGAGAGGACTTTGGGGTCGTAGGGATATCCTAGACAAGTCACAAATCTTTATCGTTTATTGTGATTTATATTCTTATAAATGTAACAATTTTATTTTTTCTCACTAACTAACTTACTATTCACCATACATATTTATCAAAATTTCATTTAAGAAATTTGATGAATAGGTATGAAATTTGATGACACTTGTCTTTTTTATTTTTCCTTAAAGTTGTCTAGCATTTTTTAATCAAAAAACGAAATATGCAGGATTTTTTTGATAACTTTGACTTTTTAATATTTAGTCGCGGGATTGAAAGATGAATATATAGTAAATAGCAATGATTGTGTGACGTGAATAGACTTCGCGGTAGACTGTAATGGTTAACATTGTTATTGTGGTAGGAATTTCTTATTCGCTCCAATTCATATCATACGTACAACGTACGTCAGAAGTTTGCGGAAGTGGAAAATATATTGTTCTATTTATGTATTGTATATATTTGTTTTTATTAAAATTAAGAATTTATTAATTGAAATTAACTCTACAAAAAATATGATACTGTCTACTTCTACATACTTACATGTGTTTCTTGATTAGATGACATGTTTGATCGCTTTTATTATGTTTAAGAATGTTTGCTACTAATTTTTATTACAAATCGTAATTCTGAGATATAGCAGCTATACAGGATGGAAAATTCCGAGTATATTTGTCTAACTTCTTTCTATACGTCGAATATTGTAACAGAGATAAATAAGATTGTTGATCGGTTATCCTAAAAATACCTGATCTTGGCGATAGTCATTTCTAGTTGATTTTAGCTAAAAGTGTATTTTATTAGTGATTTAGATAGTAAATGGGCAAGCTAAGATTTACTTTTAATAAAGTTGAAGAAAAATTTGTATTTGTAACAAATTTTCTTGTTACTTTTATTAAATAAAATTTTGGACAGGTTACATAGTTTTACTTAACTTTATTCACTATTTTTGTATTAACTACAGCAGGACTACTTTCTGATGAATTTATTAATATTAGCTCTCTTGATATATTTCCTAACATTGTTTCGTTATAAATTTATGCAGAATAATAATTTTGTGCTTTAATAATTTAATTTATATACATATCATAAAATTAGGAACGTCTATTAATTTTACTACAACTGGAAGCTGTAATTTGCGACGTCTGTCTGAGTAGTGTTTTTCTATCGGGGTAGAAAAAATTCTCTACGTAATTGAATAGTATAAAGAACGTTCTCTTTTTGTAAGGAATATTATGAAATATGAAGCCTTATATTTACTAAACTGATTTACCGGTACTGAGTATATAACATCCACTAGCCTTTTAGAGTTTCATTTAACTTGCCTGAATGAAAGTGTAAAGTTAACAATGAAAGAAACTTCAAAAGTTTTTACTTTAAAAAGTTCTTCGTAGTCCTTTTTTATGTTTGTTCCCTAATTTCTCAAATACCCCTGGATCGATTTAAGAGTATTTTTATCTCAAAGATTGGACCCTCCAGATGGTCTGATGGATACCAAGTCAGGCTTTTCTAGTGAGATCCTCTAAAAATTTAAGGAAATCAAATAATAAATAAAGATCTATCTGCCAGCATGGTGTGTATAACATTTGTTTGGTCTATGCTCTTGTCAAGAACTCTTTTCCCGAAAATCGAGCTATTTACTATTAAATCGAAATAATTGTGAAATATTCACATTACATTTCTAAAATTTTGAATAACAAAGGTTTTTATGACCTATTTTTCGTATAT